AAGTGATGTGCATACAGAAGGTTCACTAAGGAAAAGCAGATATATAGGGTAAATGAAATCTAGCCGCAATATAAGCGGCACGAATGAGCATCACAATGTACACGTCACCGGTTCTATGACTGCGGTTGAGTGCCAGTGGTAAAAAAAAAAGAACACATCGAGCTCCGTTCTCCATAGTTCTTCTACCCCATAGAGAAAAGCGAAGCGCTTAATCAGACATAATTTCATTTCTATATATTTGTATATATATGCATACATGTGAGGATTCTCTGGCGTGTGATATTTAAGGCGCAAATGCGCAAATATTTAGCCTCGACGCAAGTCACACTGGCGGTCTTCAATTTCTGCACAGGAACTGACCGCCCAGCGTTCGAGCCAGAGTCAGATAGTGACGTAAAGGGTAAAAGCTCCGTTCTTAGTAGAGCAGAAAGCTAAAAATGCAAACAACAACGAGAAGAAAAGGAACAAAGGTGTAGAGCCGATATAGTAACAAAGAAGCGACAAACAAACAAGCTGCATATGAAAACGATGCAGCGGAGCTACACGTGCAACAAATAGTTGATGTGTAACAAATCAAGACAAAAACTGTGGCACGGGAACAGAGACGTTCGTTACCCGTTCAACTCCATCATGCTTTGTGAAACAAGCCTATTCATTGAAACCCTTTTGTTTACTGGGACTATGCTGGGCGCCATAGTGCCATTTCTATTTTCTAGATATCTTAGTTAGTAAGCTTGTTTTTGCTAAGGATGACTAACATATTTAAGTATGACATAGGGAATGTAAAGGGTGCATATATATGACAACAAACTGCAAAAAAAAACGAATTAATTCTAAATAGAACAAGTGCAACACAAAAGCATCCTGAGGCAGCAGAGCAATTGAGCTTGGAGGATAAAAACCTTATCGCTCCTTCGCAGCCAATCATTAAGCTGCTGCTTTTGCTCTTGGTGCTGCTGCTACTGGAGCTGCATCTGCATCGGTTGCTCTTGCTGTTGCTGTTGGTGTTGCTGCTGCTTCTGCGCTTCATCTGCGCATCTGATGCAGCTGCAGGTGAATTGGTAGCTGTTGAGGAGCTGCTGCCTTTCTGGGGCTGCGAGGTCAAGAGGGACGTACGAAATGGTGATCTCCTCCCCAACCTGAATGTCTTTGTCTGCCTTGAGAGCAATGAAGGCATCATGATCGTTCTGTACGGTGCAGTTCGGGCTGCAGCTGTGGTTGCAGCAGGCCTGCAACACGTACACTCCAGCCCCCCGCAGAATCATCAGGCACCCGGCTGTCGTTGAGCCCCACACCAACAGCGCCTGTGCGTTCCTCATGAGGCCCCCGTAGAAGAAGGCTAAGGCGTTTTCACCCAAGAGGGCCCCGGCGGCATCAGGACCCAACGCAGTTTCTAGGGCCCCCCCCAGCTGCTGCTGCAATAGCTGCTGCGCTCGTTGAATATCAAAGGTACAAAACACATCAGCAGCAGCTGCTGCAGACAGACGCAAAAAGGGACGACAGGCCTCTGCATATGCGGCTTCTAAGTCCAAGTTGAATGCATTTCTTAGAGTCACAGTTGTTGCTGCAACGCGCGCCACCGCACGGC